TCAGGGGAGTATGATTCGTCTTACTAACTAACATATCAAACACTTATACTGTGTGAATAATTTATTACTAGGGAGAGTGATTCGCTTCTACTTAACAGATTGCCAAAACACTTATACCTGGTGGCGAAATAAATTTTTATCAGAGGAGATGATTGCTTCTACTTAAACAGATTGCTTTCACTCTGGATCACTGCACACCTTGTCCTCATCACTAAATTTCTCTAGAGACGCGTAGAATACAGAGCAGATTCTACCGGACAAATGACATTTTATCACACTCGTAACTAAGAAGACGAATAATTGACTGATATAGTGTGGCAAGAAAGAAATGGCGATAATTAATTTAAAAGTTTTCGTCGTACATCTCTGTCAACCTTAAGAACAGAAACTCTTTAAACGATCAGCAGCCACCCGAGAAATATTTTATAAAACAAGAGGTTTTCTCGTGTTCTACGCTTAACTCAGTTTCACTAACTAAAAGTCACGTGATTTATATTCTTATATTAGCTTCTTTGCATTATCGCAAAACCTTTTTCATAAACTATATAGGGTAGGGTTGAGTGCGTTATATCAAAGCGATTTGGGACCTCATCATGCGTCAGTTGCGAAAGGCTCTGTAGTAAGGCTGTCATGTCCAAAGCACATCACGCCTCCCTGCAAGCTTTCCACAGCCTACCTAGTGTACGAGGATGGTGGTTTCTCATCGCCCGTTTCAACCTGTTTGAACGCATAGAAGTCAATAAGCGACTTGGCCCATTGTTGTCCTATAGCACGAATATCCATTTCATTCTCCAGCTGCTTGAGGTGTGCGATGTTGAACGGGAGGCATGACTGAAAGATTTATTTTGGTAAGCCCACGTCCTGTCACACTCGTTTCCAGACGGATAACAATTACCTGGTATATGTAGTCGGCTTTTGCCACTGACTTTTGTGTTCGTATATTTTCACCTATTACAAGACATGCTATTTTTTTACCACGGCTGGGGTACGCTTTGTTGCAGTTCTCTTTCTGGATAATACTGGCGCCCCAAGTTGTTCCATTAACCTTTGTTTTCCAATAACACTAAGTACAATAGATATACCGTCTTCTCTAAAGGTACCAAGTTTTAATGATATCACGTTACCTACGTAACACCAAATAGTATCAAAATATAGTTCTGATACATTCTGTTCCACTGCAACTTTATATCAGCTGTGATTGTCTTGCTGATTTGCATAATCAAATTCGTTTTTATATAACTTACTCAACCCTAAAATAATATCAAGAATCCAAGAAAATAATAAATCTTTACATGATTTGTAAGCACTCTCTAGAAGTGAAAACACCATCTTAGATACTGCTTATACTGTTTACTTTTTGTAATAGAAACACACACAAAGTGAATGTATTTGCATATATGCTATGTTTTTACATAGTTTATGCGAGACAAACCAAAATGAAAAATATAAAGGTATAAATAGTAGAAGGCAAGATTTTAATTTTAACTTAACTAGATGTTCTGAAGGTTTTTTTTGTTTTAAATAACAATATTTTTCTTTGAATAAACGTATATTGCATTTTTTCCAAGAGTTGCGACTATTCCTATTTCAGATGTATTGGTTTCAACTCTATTCTTGCCCTCCCTCCAGTTGCATAGCGGTATATCTGCGGACTTGCAACACTAGAAATCGGGTTTCGATACCCGTGGTTGGCAGAGCACAAATAGCCTATTGTATAGCTTTATGCTTAATTTCAAACAAACAACTTTATTCTTCAGTAGCGGAAGGTTTCACGTGGAAACATAAATAAAAGGATCTGAGAAGTGATAAAACAGTGAAGCAAAAAACATTAAACGACATCTGGTGTGTTGGTATGATTTGAAAATATTTAAGAAAAATACAGAAATATCTTAAACTACATATAAAGTCACGCATTGTTTATTGCCAAATTCACCAATCAAAATGTCATTTTATTTACCGATAGGTGGCACATTCAACCTAATTATTGTGCAGAGAATATGATAGAACTGCAAACAAATAAACAGCCTTATAACATTTTTAAACAGACTGAAAAGGTGAAAAATACTTTTTAATTTTAGACTAATATCAATGCTGTTTATACTGTTTAACGCAATTCTTAAAAAGTATTATTTCTTGCTAGAATTGAAGAAACAATACCCCCTGAAATTATAACTTATGGCTACAATTGGGGAAACAACACCCCCTGAAATTATAACTTATGGCTACAATTGAAGGAAACAACACCCCCTGAAATTATAACTTATGGCTACAATTGGGGAAACAACACCCCCTGAAATTATAACTTATGGCTACAATTGAAGAAACAACACCCCTTGTAATTAAAACTTATGGCTACAGTTGAGGAAACAACACCCCTTCTAATTAGAACTTATGGCTACAGTTGAGGAAACAACACCTCCCTGTAATTAGAACTTATGGCTACAATTCAGGAAACAACACCCCCTGTAATTATAACTTATGGCTACAATTGAAGAAACAACACCCTTTGTAATTAGAACTTATGGCTACAGTTGAGGAAACAACACCCCCCTGTAATTAGAACTTATGGCTACAGTTGAGGAAACAACACCCCCTGTAATTAGAACTTATGGCTACAATTAAGGAAACAACACCCCCTGAAATTATAACTTACGGCTACAATCGAGGAAACAAAACCCCCTGTGTGGTTTCATGTTTGTGACATTTCTTTGCCCAAGAGTATTGAATTATAGAATGCTTTATTTGTTTTATTAATTTCTTCTACATGGCAGGAACGTTTTTTCATTAATGGAAATTTGGTAAATTTATTGTCATAGTTCGGTTTATTTCATTCGTCCATTGCAACAACGAATATAATCTATCAAAATATACAATATTTTCAATATCAATTGTAGTTTGAATCAAAAGAATTTCTGATGGAACCGTGAGAATACAAACTTTCACTAGCTATATTAACTGAACCGAATGTGAGATAAGCTTACTCCGAGCTTTAAGCTGCAAAGCTGGAGATGCATGAACTCCTGCAGGACAATAACAATAATGAAGCATCATAATACCACAGAACAAGTATTTCTAATCATTTAATTTCAATTGGTCCAAATACAGGCTTCAAGATACTAAGACGTTAAATATTATAATCAAACAGGCCTGATTAATTCGGATATTACAAAAATGAACTTGCCAGTAAAGGCTAAAACGAGTAAGATGTAACTGAAATATCAATAATACACTCCTTTTACTAGTAGCCCGTGACTGTGGCGACATAAAAGTGGCACGTTAAACATGAAAAGTGTTACTTTCATCACATTTTCTCATCAAACAGTGGTCCTATTACTTAATATCTGTTAATTTAAGATCATTTATAATTTTTCTCAACTAAACAGATTCCATCTTATAATTGCAACGTTTCGCCCGGCAGTTCATTGATTCCAATACGTTGTATAGAAAGAAATCTAAAAAAAAAAATTTAACGTTTAAATTATTTTCTTCAATAACAAATTACGGATAATAGCTAGTTTTACTGCATGTTGTTTGACAGTTTTAATCTTGAATATGTAATCACACACACACACACACACACACACCTATACATATATATACAATACATGCAGATAACGTGCTATGATAATATACAGACACGACTATGTACAAAACGTCTATTTCTTGTCCATCCTTCTGAAGGCACACCCTAGGCCTATTCGTACATGGTTGTTAATGTAGATATCCAAAGGGATATTTCATTCTAACAGCTCCTCCACTTGTAAGCAAGCTGACCTCAGCAGTGTCCTTTGGACTGTCCCCTTTTTCATTGACTCGGACACTTCTACTTCACAAATCTCAGGCTGAAATAAAATTAGTTAAAATAAGTTTAAAATGCACGAAAGTAGAAAATATATGTTTCCACAGATAATTCTTTGAAGAATTAAAAGTAATTAAAAAGAATTCAGGAAACTAGATCACCAATAGTTATATTTGCATTTTTTCCAAAGGTAAATAATTTTATTATTACTGTGAAAATGTAAGAAACATTATGCTCTTAATGACTGAATCCCCAAATGGCGTTTTACGTTAAAAATAAATTTTTAACAAAGGAATGCAACTTTTCTAGAATATTTTTGCGTTTTATTTCAACAAACAAGATGCATTTTGTTATATCCCATTGTATCGCAAAAAAACAAAAGAAACGCGTTAGTAAACGCAAGTAAACGGTTTGACTAGTCCTTACAAACTTCCCCCCAGTGGCACAGCGGCATGTCTGCGGGCTTATACTACTAGAAACCGAGTTTCGACACCCGTGATGGACAGAGCACAGGTAGCCCTTGTGCTTAATAACAAACAAAAACAACAACTTTACAATCTATAAGGTTGCTCAATATTACTTAAAAAATCTACAAACTTGTAAGACAATTTAGAAGAAAAACAAACTATTTGTCAAAATGATCATATATATTACAGTATAGTAAATTTGTTCGTGGGTTTCCTGTTGAGCTCGCCCCCAGTGGCACAGCGGTATATCTGTGGACTTACAACGCTAGAAACCGGGTTTCGATACTCGTGGTGGGCAGAGCACAGATAGCCCATTGGTGCAGCTTTGTGCATAACTACAAACAAACAAAACTGTTGAGCTCAAAACTTCGTAACGGGCGGGCTACCTGTGCTTTGCCTACTCCTGAATCACCGGGTATTGGTTTGGGAGGTTATAGATTACTGACGTTATTTCCGTATAAAGTAAAGTAATAAAGTATAAACTATAAAGTAAAAAATGTTTATGTCAAAATGGTTACCGTAAAAATGTTAAATCTTTTTTTTTTCTCAGTCAGATTAATGTATCTTTGGAAATGTGAAATAAGTATTATGGCTCGAATGTTCAAGAAAAGTGCTTTCAGAGAGAATTGTGTATTATATAAAAAAGTGAGTGACAAAAAATATCTTGAACCTTTCAAAAGCAGCTGTGCTCTTAGGGAATAGTTCTCGTTAATTTTACAACATTTAAAGGGAGCTTTTAGTCATGAGATTAAACATTTTAAGTGAAAATTTATTTTTTTTAAAAAAGGAATAACAGTTACGTTGATTTTTAAAAGAAGTTTTAGGTTTTCCGATATTCACACAAAGCTATTCATAAGCTATCTGCTCTGTCCGTCATAAATTTTAAACAGATAGACAAGAAAGGAGGTAACACCCTCTTCCAACACTTGGGTCTCTTTTTCTGACCGAATAATGGGATTTACTTTTATAACTTACCCGCAACTCCAAATTGCGAAGTACTATTTAGTTTTTGAAATAACGGTACGCGACGACAGATTGCAAATTTCATCAGATTATACTTGTAATAGTAGATTAAAAAGTCACCTCCAAATATCGTCAAATTACAGACTGACTAACAGATCAAAAAGTCACCTCCAAACATAATCAGATTATACCCGCACTGGTAGTTAAAAAGTCACCTCCAAACATCATTAGCTTATACCAACACTAATTGATCAAACAGGTGGATGTAGTACGTTAAAGAATCGCAAAGTTTGGGTTTGGATTGGTTGTTGTTAAACACAAAGTTATACAATGGGCTATCTTTGCTCTGCCCACCACGGATATCGAAGCCATTAGGGGCTCTCAGTTTTTATGCACTGTACAGAATCTAGTAATTATATCAATCGTTTCCTTTCTATTAACTGCAGGTTAGAAAAGCCAGAAATAACTAATTTAAAATACACAAAAATGTTAATTATAAAAAATAAATGTTAACAAAAATTGTCGAATTTCAATTGTTGTTTAAAAATTACAGAACAATGAGGAGAAAAACCCTGTATAGGAAGATCTAGGGGGGGGGTAATACCTGAGATCAAAGTTTTTTCTAACAAGATTTTGAAAATTCATTTTTCGAGTTTCAACAGACTGTCCAGCTTCTCCTTGGTAAATGGTAAACATACAACCCCCTTAGTAAATCCTTCGAAACATTTTTACACGTGTTACATCAGTTATATCATATCCATTATTTGATTATTATTGCATTATTAATATTATCTTACTGAAAGCTAGTCTTGGACGTTATGGAAAATATACTGGTTTGTTGCTATGTAATGCGGTTATTCAACGTAATAAAAAAATATTTGTTAAATTAGTCATCCTTCTTACTAATTCATCCTGTAACCCATTTATATAGTAGTTATTTCAGCCTGTTACAAGCAATGTTATGGTAATGTGTAGGACTATTACCCATAACCCCCTGATGTTATTTTGAGTCTTTTTTTGACGTTTTTTGTATGTTAGGATGACATTAAAGTAATACTGGTGTAACTGTATTACAAAATGTGTAAAATCACATGTTTTTAAACTTTCGAATGAACTTGGTATATCTTTTCGTAATCAATACGTATTCCATTTGTATAGAAATAAATTCATTTTGGGGGAGGGGGTCCCCTGGTACTACTTCCTTGGGTGCTTACAACTAAATATAGTAATTACTATCACTAACATCGTTAGCAATTGATAGAGAAAGCAAAAGGTAAATGATGAGAAAGATTGAACTTAGCCAGTCTACATTTCCTCGTCAGATTAATTAAACATAACTTGACTGAGTAAACACAATTTGATTGATGAAACAATGTTGAATGAGATTATCCATTCCATTGACGACCACGACAACCATTTCTCTAATTACAGCTCTAGATATTAAGAGGTGTTGAATAGCATTAGATACAAAATGTGCAAGATGTTGCCCTTAAATGCATTATCACAGAAAGCTGTCCCCAGTGGGACAGTGGCAAGTCTTTGGATTTAAAACCAAATTCAGGGTTCGATTCCCCGTAATGGACACAGCAAACAGCCCAAGATGGCTTTTCTCTAAAACAAAACAACAATAGTGAAAGCTCTTTACCCAGCAGTGAAACGTTGTCCATTGGAATGTCGAAGTTTACGTTTGATTACAAATAAAATTTCATTAGTAAATCTAGAAGGACACTCAGCAGAGCACATACCTCCGCCATGCAACGTTGATCATATTTCATTAGTAAATCTAGAGGGACACTCGGTATAGCACATACCTCTGCCACGCAGCGTTGATCATAATTTATTAGTAAATCTAGAGGGACACTCAGTAGAGCACATACCTCTGCTACGCAGCGTTGATCATAATTTATTAGTAAATCTAGAGGGACACTCAGTAGAGCACATACCTCCGCCACGCAGCGTTGATCACATTTCATTAGTAAATCTAGAGGGACACTCAGTAGAGCACATACCTCCGCCACGCAGCGTTGATCATAATTTATTAGTAAATCTAGAGGGACACTCAATAGAGCACAAACCTCCGCCACGCAGCGTTGATCGGCACTCAAAATAAAAAAATAAATGTAAATGGTCCGTATGTCCGTCGTTATGGAGGGACATGAACCATTTTTGGCAGGACAGTGAAGAATAATATTCTACATATGTCCACAAAGTATCATCAAAATCCGATCATTTTTGACTGATTTAAAGACCAAAAATTGTGTGAAAATTAGTCCTCATGTTAATAGATAGGGATTTTTTTGGATTTTCTTGACCTTGATCATCCAAGAACTAATCACTTCTAAGTTGGATCATAGTCCAAATGTATATCAACTTTCATCGAAATTCATTCAGCCGTTTTTGAGAAATCTTGCTGACAAACACACACACACACACACATGGGTGAAAACATAACCTCCGTCCATGAAATGAAGTGAGTATAGGGTACACAAAAACTAAAAAATTATCGGTTCTGTTAAGTGTGTTTCATATTTTACTCTGCTCCAAATGACTGAAATGAATCATATATATTAATGTGTTTCATATTTTGCAGCTGGATCAAAATGTCAAAATTCTGTTAAAGTGGCCTTAAATCTTGTAATCGCTTAAACGCTCGTTTTTCAACAGCTAATATGGGTTCATTAAATTAAATCGTATTACTGCATAGTGCTTTGAAACCCTTTCTAGTTTAACTTTTTACGTTGTAAAGTATTCAACAGATGTAGTAGTTAATAAGATGTGTATCTACGAAGCAAAATAAATGTAATTGCTAAATGTACGTATTCTAAACAATCAAAAAATGGTTTCAAAATTTATGAGGTAGGGTTAATGTTTTTGTGGGTTTTTTTCTAAATTAACCTTACTATAAAAATGTGTTCTAACTGGACTGTAATTTATCTATCACGAAACGTTATAAACGCAGACTGTTAAGAACAAGAAATAGATTAAAAAAAATTGTGCTTTACTCACACATGGCCTTACAATGACATATCAGTCATCATGGCCTAACATTGACATGTCAGTCATCATTTTTATAACAAATCTCGAGCGAGGAAAATGAAATAAAACAGTTGATTAAGAACGTAATTGCCTTATTTTGCTGTGTAAGATATAAAGACTATACTTTATTAGGTTTGGTTGAAACAGAACCAGTTAATAACTATATTGTATTTTTGATGGGTCGTATATATATCTATGTGTATGTGTGTTTGCATAAACAACAACTAAATGTTGATCGAAACGTAATATGACGGTGCCATCATTTGGCCATGCTGGAGGAATATTGGTCAGACTGATGGAAGTAAGAAATCGTCATTGGCTTCAGGATTAAAACCTTGCCTAGATTTTGTCTGTTTGAAGTTAAGCACAAAGCTACATAATGAACTATCTATGCTCTGCCCAACACGGGTATCAAAACCCGGTTTCTAGCGTTGTAAGTCCAGAGATATACCGCTGTGCCACTGAGGGGACTAGATTTTGTACTGCGTGGTTAACTAATAAAAAATAGCACGTGAAGTTGACATTGTTAACAATTGAAATGTTGTGCGTGAATTATCCGTATTTTAATCACGCAGAC